GCAGTCCACTCAGTGGGAATGATTAGCAGATAAGGCGGGCCTGGGAGGCTCAACTAGGTCGAAAAAGGATGGAGCAAGAGTACCTATAGGCTTTTAAAACAAAACCCTTGGGGGACCTAACCAATTGAAGATACCAGATTATGATTCTTAAATGGGTCAAATTAGGGTATGGGAGCTACATTCTATGGCTATTAAAAACAAACACAATTGGGAACATCACCAATAGGAGCTTAGCTATCAAGCAAAATTTGCTTTCCTTTTGAAATAAACTCCGTTCACATTTTAGTCTTAATGGGTTTTATTTAGTGCATGTCATAAAGTAAAAAGTGATGGTAATGAGCCACTTGCAGAAGTGCCTGGAATTCGGACACTACTTTCCACTGCTAGGCAGATGACAATTTTCTAACAATTTGGAAACAAATCTCTAAACTTGAGATTATGTGTATCCTGCAATAACCTGTAATTGTTAACCCAGGGGTGTAACCTATATAAATAACCATTAGGTACGAAAAAAAGAACGTTAAATCAGCACATTTTGTATTTAAAAATCTGAAACATAACTCACAAAATATGTGGCACTCAAAACTAAGGATTTCTAGCTATGAAAAATGGATGTGGCACCAGCAATAAAGGGACCAGGACATTATAAACAGCTGAAGAACAGATGTTTCTTGTTACCATTTCCACCACTCATATATACTTAATACTTTTAATGCTGGACTTTCAATTTATCCTCTTTGTAAAAATATAAGAAAAACCAGACTTCATGTGCTAAATTATTTTGAAATTTATGCTGAAATAGTATTAAAATGAATTCTCTTCAACCATCCAGTCATTTTGCTACGTTTTGGTGAGTATATAGTCTATGCCAGTCATTGTGAAAAAGTCTTTATTTTAAGAAAAAAATTTAGTTAACAAAAAATTTTAACAAATTTCACTTAGCAAAATACACCCAAAAGGAAATCACAGTACAAAGAAAGTATTAAGTCAAGGCCTCACCAATTCCTACAGTATTAGTAATGTGTCTCAATTTTCAAAACTAACTTTTAAAAAGCTTAAACTTAGCCTAAAAGATTTTAAATGAAAAAATAGAATGAACAAACATGAGAAATGTTCCTCTTTGAATTAGGGATCTAGCACCTTGAGTTTTCCAAAAAGCACATCTCCCCAATGTGTTCATGGTGATATGGTGTCAAAGATCCACATTTGATGTACTTAAAACTACTTTAACTCAAATAACATCACTCTTAAGTACACTACCAAAATATTGCGAAAAGCTGAAAATAGTTTTAGATTACTCAACATCACATGCTAGAAGAAAAGTTTGCATGAGAAAACACTGAAGAGGTAATTTTTTAATCCAGATTTCACAAACTCATGGTGCAAAATGGGTCCCACAGCTTCTTCTAGAGTAATAACTGCTTTTCATTGCTTGTTGGCTGCCTGTGAAAATTTGAAACTCGAATGCTCCTACAAAAAAACTAGTCATATCCAGCCATGCTGTTCTGGCCACTGTAGCTAGCCCCATAACAACCACTCACAGACTGGCTCTCTAGGCCACTGTAAGTGGACTGTGCTGACACCCCCATGCCTTGCATCATCTGGCTGCTATACGCCCCATTGCTAGCCCCTGTTGTGGAATTCAAGAAAAGTTCTATGTATCTGTGTTGCATGTTGGCCCTGTCTTTGGACATAGCTGCCACAGCTTCTTCGTGAGTGGCAAACTCAACATCAGCTTCACCCGTCACTCTTCCATCCGGGCCAATCTCAATATGGACTCTCACAGGGTTAAGTGGAGAGAAGAAGTTGTAAATGTCGTTCTCTGTGGCTTTGTATGGCAGCCCCCTCATGTGGACACAATGTCCAGTGGTGCTCTGGACAGTGAACTCGCCATCTCCATATCTGTGATCATACATCCCTGAGAGACAGTAGCTGAGGTCTCTCCCAAACAGGTCGGTGGTAAAGCCGTAGCCATCACTGAGGCCGCTGTACTCCTCATAGCCCCCATAGCCTGCACTGTAAGCACCAGACCTCATCCTCTCCAGGCCCGCCTGCTTGACAATGCCAATATACCTCCTGGCTGTGCCGGGGCGGTCATAAGGCCCTGGCCGCTGTACAGACATGAATTTCAGAGGGGGATCCGAGTATGACCTAACTTCTTCCTGACTGCTCTTGAACACTTCAATATACCTGTGCCCTATCCTCTCCTTGTGCTTCCCTAGAGCCTTCTCAGCTAACTCCTGTGAGGCGAACTGCACAAAGGCTTCCCCTGTAATCTTGCCCTCAGGGTCCACAGGTAATGTGATCCCGTTTGGCACAATTTCCAACCCTGAGAAGAACTGAACGATTTCTTCCTTGGTGCATCCAAATGGGAGTCCTCGAAGCCGCACGAAGCCATCATTGGCAGTGTCAGCACTGTTTGGACCGCTGTGCTTCAACACCCAATCCATTTCGGTTCTATGGGACTTGAACACCTCAATATACCGGTGTCCCATGCTTTCCCTGTCTTTTTTAAGGGCCATTTTTACATCATCTTCTGATTCAAGTTCAACAAAAGCCTCACCACTCTGCCTGCCTTCTCTAGTGTAGATGAAATGAATGCCTGTGGCCCCATCATGAATTATGCAGCCGGAGAGGAAATTCTGCACATCCTCAACAGAGCAGGACCAGGGCAGGCCACGGAGCTTGACCACAAAGCCTTCACCTCCCTCGGGGCCCAGCATCATGGACACTTGACAGGGCAGACTTCAAACGAGCTGAGGTGCCGCTTTTTGCGCTGAAAAGAAAGCAAAAACTACGTAACTTCCCCTTTAATGTGTATAACAAGAATATGCAGTAAATAGTTTTCTTCATTTCATAGATGAGAAGGGTAAGTGAAGCTGAAATACACCTAAAACATTTGAGCTGAGATTCAATCCCAAGTGTCTCCAAAAATGTAGATATCATCCATAGACTAAAACAAACAACAAAAACACAAAACAAATGGGGTGGGGTGTCTTAAATAAATAGAATGGAGGATAAAATTTGAAGACCAAAATAGTGATCTGGAAGTTTCAACTAATGTCAAAATCTATAAATTTTAATGGTCAATTTTAAGTTCTAGAAGGAAGAAAATGAATTGAGGCAACATTCATAAATAGTAAGAGAACTCAGAACTGGAGAAAAAAGATGAGATGTATTATTGCATTGTTAAAGGCAAGAGGACAGGTATAATTTGGTGCCTTGAATATAGAGGAATCTAAAAATCAGGTTAGAGTGAGAGCATTTTCTTATTATCTATTTACTCCAGAATGTGTCATGATGAAATCTGGTAGTTCATTTCGAAACAATTTG